TTTAGCCTGTCACATTATTAATTAGGTTATTTTTCTCGCTAATGATATATTTAGTTGGCACAAAAAAAAAACAACTTTATTAATTGACCCTTGTAACTGTTTTAAATTGCTGATGTCATGTTAAATATATTAACCAATCAAAGGACTCAATTTAAAATTGATGATGTCATGTGAACTAATGGACCAATCAGAATGCTCAATTTAATTTCTAACCAATCACGTTGAAGATTCTAAACTTACCAAGAGACATTTACTTATGTACAGAATATAGTGAAAATTAAATAGAAATTGTATAAGTATTAGTGATATTCGTACTTTTCTCTAATTAGGGACTAAATTGTAAAATAATCAAAATTACGGGTAAAATTACAAAAAGTAGAAATTTTGACGGTTGGACTGAAAGTGCATTATGGGGGACATTCTGCAGGACTACTTCAGAAGAAGGCTGAGGCAAAGAGGCAACTTTGGGACCATTTCATTGGCTCAATTCTTATCCATTTGCAGCAAAACCCTGGCGAGCAAGAAAGAGTCATTCTAGATGGCTGCTATGGTCCTGAAAAGCTAGCAAAATGACAATTTGTAGTAGCTAGAATCACGCCTGAAAGGCCAAGAAGAAAATGACATTAGGATCCTCCTGATAGCTGGGGTACGCGGCCGAATCTCAACGGCAATCGTGAGCTGTTACAGCCTATAGGAGAAGCGATGGCCATTTGCAAAAGAGAGTTAGGCAGGAACAGTGCAACAAAGTCTTTCATGCAATTTAGCAGAGATAGACGCTCAAGTCAGTGGTATTCCAACTTACCTGAGTGATCTGTTGTTCATCCATAGATTGTATTTTTCACTCTCTGTAAGCTTCCTTTAGCCTTGTAGTCATGTTTTATGCTTAGTTCTTCATGGATTTTGTATTTAAAATATTGATTATGAGTATATCTTTTGATAGGGTTGAATCCCTCTTCCTATGTGAAATTACTTTAAATTTGTCCTCAGACGATGTAAGTATGCCCAGTTTCAGTGTGTAAATTAATCTTGTGTGTAATCTGATCAACTAGGCACTTGTGCATGCATAGTGAGAAAATCTCGGAATGGTGACTCAATTTTGAACGACTAAAATTGGCTGGTAATTTAGAGGTAATAGTCTAAGGTTTCAACTAGGATCGGAAGGTACCTAGTTGGCACAAGGCGATCAATAAGACTCTAGGTTTTAATAGTCTGATAGGAATTAAACACTTTACCCGGAAGAGAGCTTGTTAGTCACTGGAGGGACTCCTTTAAGAACATCGGCAAAGATTAAGGGGTATATTAGCGTCTGATCAAACACATTCGTATCACATTGACCCATAATTACTATAGAAGTAACATAAGAAGAGAGGAAGATCCTCAGGCTTCCTTAATCTGTTTATTGCCCTACATTGTTCCTTAGGCTGCTATCTTTCATACTCTTTCTGGTCAAATTTACTTCCTTGCATGTTACTTACTTTTCGCTTAGCGTTTGGTTTAGGAAGACCAGCCATATCAACTCCCCCTTCCTATTTCATTTGGGTTCGGTTTTCTTGTGATCCAGGCGGTTCAAAGTTAGTCGTTGCTATCATGTGGGTTCGCCTCTACATGCTAGCTATTTGCTAGTTTAAGTTGTTTTTCTATGAGACGACTTGATGGCAGTCGGCACTACCAGGTTCTACCTCAAAATCAATTTTCAATGAATCTCACATAGCTCATGTGGAGATCTATCACCTGTTAATAAGTTTCTTATCTCTCACCTCATTCATTACAATTGGTTTTGAGGAACCCATCGACTTCTATATATACAGGGTTAGAGCCCACGGCGTCCTGTGAACTAATTGACCTGTGACCCTTGTATACGAACTTGCAATTAAGCTGGCAGTATATCCAAAGTTGTGGATGACCAAAATATATTTCGGATTGTGAACTAACCAGTAGTGCATACGGAGTTTTAAACTGACCTAACAATATATTCGGTAAATTATGTTGTATTGTGCAATCTCGTTAGGCTTCTATATATCTTTTCACCATATTCATTGACAATTATTTTTGAGGTGGGACTACATACGCTTTTATATATCATGATCAAATCTAAAGACTGGCTCTATTCGTTTCCTTTTTGGATGGAAAAAATGACCCGAACATAAAACTAATGCATAAACCAACAATAAATTCCTCATCGTATGATAATTTCATAATTTTAATTGTGAAGAATTTTGTGTTCATTTTTCCTCCAAACACATTGTTGTTTTTCTTGTCTTTGATTTTGTCATACTCTGTCTACTCACAACTCTGAATTTCATTACATTAACACTCATATATTTCCCTACCTTCTCTTACTTAACTTGGTGCAATAGAAAATCACGCGCTCTTGAAAAAATTAGAAGAGAGAAAGTTCTTTAAACTTTATTTCAAGTTTTCTTTAATGCATTTCTTTAATTACTTTTTTTAGAGATATTTTATCTTTTCACCGAGAAATTTCTACTTATCGAATTTTATAGTATAGTGAAAAAAGTTTATTATTTTTATTATTATTATTATTTGAGAATATACAAATTTAATCCCTACCAATTTCTTTTTATGGAAACGAATCTATTTCTTTCGGTGTTATTCTGAAATGCAATATTCTAATTTAATTAAGAAAATCTTTTATTCGATATTTACAAGATAAGAAATATGTTATCTCTCAAATTCATTGTACCCAACTCAGACAATTGAAACGCTTCGAAATTTCATCCTAAAAGTTTGCATTCATAAGAACGTAATATACTTTGTATTTTCTAACCCATATTTCAAAGTTCAAATTTATATTCTTTCAAAAGTCAAAAGAATATTCCAAACTGAAAATTCTAAAATACATTATATTTTCTTATTAGTGAAGTGGCTAAAAAAAGTTTTAAAATAAAAAGAGCACAAAATAGAGAGTTAGTACAGAGTAAGTCAATTTACTTAATTGAGTTCAAACAACAATCCCATTTACCCTTAGTATATCTACTAGTACTTACCCGTGCGTTGCACGGCGGGTAGAGATTTGATTCCTACAATTTCTAATTAGTAAATTATTTAAAACCGCCATTGTAGAAACCATTATCATGATATCATAAATATATTAACTGTATAATATACATTTATCAATGAAATAAGACATTTCAATTAGTAAGTATTTAAGTTTTTAATAAATAAAAAAGTTAAAATTGTGAACTATGAAATTTATAGGGTAAAATTTACTAATAATTTAAAATAATAAGGTCCTAACATAATAGTATATATACTAATAAAACACTACCCTACTCTTTCCTTATTTTTTTCCCCGCAGCCGCCACCCCCTCTTCTCCCTTGCGTTTCTCTTCATCTTCATCTTCTACTTCTTCTCCCGCCACCCCAACCCCCCTCGACCCTCTCGGGTACTTTTTATTATTTTCTACTTTTTCTTTTCCGTTTGTTAATTTAGATTGGAAGGAGACATATGAGTTTTCAAAAAGAAGAAAGAGTACCCGTGCGTTGAGTCGCAGATTGCCAGCGATTTTTAAATTATTGTGGCATCGGTCATCGGATATCATTGTCGCAGATTGCCAACAATTTTTAAATTGTCGTGGCATCAACCTTTAGACATAGTTGCCGAATTGAAACCGGAATCGCTGTCGTTAATTTTTTTATTATTCCGGTAATAGTAAAATAATAAGTAATGAAACAATAAATATAAATAGAATAAAAGATAAAAAATACTATAACATTTTATTAAAGTAAATAGTAAATAAATAGTAAATGTAATATTACGTATTTACTATAAAAATTTACCATCAATCTTATTAGTATCCTAATTGAGCGACATGTGTCACAGAGAAAAAATTCCTTTCATATATATAGAAGATTCGTCAAATGTACCAAAAAGATAGAAAATCCTCGATAATAAACTAGAATGTAACCCAACAGTGGGGAAAGAAAAAAGATACAGGGTATTCCCTCGCCCTGATTTTTCCTTCTCTCCTCTTACCCCTATGTTTCTCTATTCTTGGTCTCTTGCTGTAAAATAAGGCTTACAGTTAGTTTTCTTTCATCGTTACGAGTACTAATTGTGGAATTTTTTATCATCCCAATTTGTCCAAGGTTTTGGGTAAAATGCCTCAGTGATTGACCAATTTCGATCAGATTTGGCCCTTATGGCTGGCGATCAAACCACGGGGGTCCCCATTGAACCCCCTTGAACGTTTGCAAGCCTTTTCAAAAAATCAGTGGAATCACATATGCCTAAAAGCTTTCTATTCAAGCAATTGAAATTTATTAATGGAATGCTGGTCGTCGAATATGAAGATGATGAATTTGACAAGTCATTGCGCCTCATCGGCTAAGTTAGGTTGGGAAATTTTCTTATGACAGGCCAAAGATGGACGAGGTGCATAAAGAATTTTAGAAAATAGGATTTGTGGGAAGTTATTCAATAGGTTTGATGAATCCACGACGACACATCTTGATACGATTTGAGAAAGAAGAGGATTATCATCGCTTTTGGATCCGAACATTTTGGAAAATAGCAGGATTTTTAATGACAATTCTGAAATGGACTCCGGAATTTAAGTTTGAAGAAGAACTCCGATTGCTCCTAGATGGGTTTCCTTGTTTGATCTTCCGATAGAGTATCTGAATCCTGAAATAATCTTGTCTATGGCTACGGCAATTGGAAAACCCCTGAAAGTTGATGTTCCTACGTTGAATATGACTCAGCCTTCTGTTGCATGTTTCTGTGTTGAAGTATACTTAATGTAGGAGCTTCCAAAGTTAGCCAAAATAGGGGAAAAAAAAGGGCACAAGCATGACCAATTTTTCACCTATGAACATATTCCTTCTTATTGCTCAAAGTGCAGTAAAATTGGCCACAAAAATGACGAATGCAAACAAGGTAGACGATTCAGCCGCGTCACTTGAAGGAAAAAGAGAAACAAGTTGAGAAGAATGAGGTCCAGACTAAAGGGAAAGACATCGTTTTGCAGCCTTTGAAATCCATGTGGAAACCAAATATTGGTGCCAAAAAAACTACTGCTTCAAAGTCGGGCTTAACTGATAAAGAAAAGGAATCAATTCTAGTTGAGCAGTCCGATAAAAACATAGGTGGAAAAAAACATGAAGGGAATATGCAAAAAGTAACAGAGCCACAAGAAGCAAATAAAGACGGGACTGAAGTTGTTGAATTTACAGATTCTCCAAATGAAATTCCGAAGGATCACTCAAATACATATTGCAAAGATAGAATTAAGGCTACAAATGATGAAGGTCAGGATAGGACAGAGGATGAAGATAATCTAAAGCAACCAACTCATCGCAACAACATTGATGGGGAGCTACCAATTGAAGATGATCTAAATCAGCACAACCAACAAAAACAAAATGTTGTTTTTGAACCGGTGATAACAAATACCTTTAAGGTTTTGCATGCGGATTTGATTGAGGAGAATGTCGATGAGTCTATGCGTAAAGAAGATGATTCAGAAGATGGCTTACTAGTAGTTGGAATGGCAGGCACTCTGAAACACGTAGATGCGAAAAAACAACTCATGATAGAAATTACAGGAAATTTTGAAAAAATCCTGGCTCAAGTTGCAAAGGGTGAGGAACCGGAATTTATCTCTGCACATTAACAAAGGAAGAAGCCCAGTACCAATGCAAATTCAAAAGTACGTCGCTCAGAAAAAAAAAATTCTGTTGATCATAATCCTTTAAAGTATTTCTATTACTTTTTTTTGAACATTTATTTGATGTATTGTAAAAGGTTGTAAGTCCTACGCACTGCCACTTTCCTTTAATTTCTTTATTTGCAGATAATTAAAAAGTGTACTATACCCGCCAAGCACTGCCTGATTTGATTAAAAAAAAAAAAGAAACAAATTCCTCGTGTGCCCATATCTTCTGAATATGTAAGATTGTAGCAATTCAACATTTTCTATTTAAAGCCATTGCACCAAGAGTATATCTAGCAACAACTCACTCAATTCTTGCTTTCTTTCATTTCTCCATATCAAATCCTTTTTTTTTCTTTCCCAAGGTTCTCGTCCTTTCTTATTCCATTTCCCTTCACTTGTCAACATTACTTTTATAATTTTTAATTACTCTTAGTTTAGTTTCTTTACTTCGAATTCTTCTCTTCCAATTTTTTTTATGGAACTTTTGTTTCTCTAGAAAGAAGGGGTTTTTCTCCTCTTATATATATTTAGATTTTAATTCTTAGATCTATGACTAGCAACTTGTGTTGAGTTATTATACATTCTCCTGATATTACCTTACAAACTTACAAAGTTCTCTATCACTTTTCTTAGTTAAAAAATAATCAATTTGTGATTTGTTAAAGCCGCTATTATATGTTAAAAAATAATCAATTTGTGATTTGTTAAAGCCGCTATTATATGTAATCAAGTGTTCATCCCTTTTTTTTTTAAACAAGGGGTCACATATGATAAATCATATACCACGAAAAAGCCTAATATAGTTTTACCCTTATTATTTTGTACCCCAAACCATAAACCCTATGAACCCTCTCATATTCTTCATTTTCTTTTCCTACATGTTAATTTAAATCCACACCTATAAAAGTTTTTTCATTTTGAGGGATTGATTGGATCAATGACTCCAAATCTTTCCAAAATTTTGATTTAGTGGTTTCATCTAATCCTACTTGAGGCGCATATGCACTAATTATATTTATGGCTTTATTTCTTATTATAATTTTCAAGGTAATTAATCTATCTCCCATCCTAACCACTCCTACTACTTGGTCTATGAATAATGAATCAACTATATACCTATATCATTCCTATTACTATCTTTTTCACAATACCAAAGTTTTTACCTGTGTTATTTAAAACTTTAGCCTTTTCACCTACTGGTGGTTTGAAATGTGATTGTCGTTAATTTCAACCCCAAATAAAATATTTGTAAAACTTACGTAAAACTATTAGATAGTGGTAAGTAGGGTCATACTATAGAGACGGCAGTCAACCACTCAAAATCTTATTAAAGTGCAAGAAAAAGAAAGTAAAAGAGTTGAACAGATATGTCACTTGGAAGAGTGAGAATAGTCACTTGACAGAGTGAAGAGGCAGAAGGGTCAATCACCTTCCTACCTTTATGATCCAGTTTTGACTCAAGTAATCCTGTAGTGTATGATTTATTATTTGATCGGACACATGTATTCTTTACAATTCCTCTCAGATAGAATAAAGAGTCCTAGATTACTAAATCATCTAACTCTCAGTCAGATTATTGAGATTAGCCTAGGCCATTGAGTTCTTAAGCCCTATTGATCACCTATTCCAATCACCTAATTCTCATTGATGATTAAAGTCAAAGGGTAGATTTTCTCTTTTGTCATAGACTAATTTAAGACGTTCTAGTTATGTCTGTCCTCTCAGATCTCCATAACATACAAGCACATTTAATTAAGTGGCTAGTTTAATCAAAAGGTTAATTTAAGCACTTAAACTATAAACAATGCCTCATCAGGGAAAATTGAATCAAAACATTCACATAAAGATAGTAGGGATTGAACCCTCAGCTGAGTTAGCTACTCATGTTTATGGAGTTAAACATGAGAGCAAAAGATAAGACATAATTCAAGATCAAAGGTTAGAGGTTAGAAGGGAAAGATGGTAGCAGGGCAATCATTGTCTGCTCACTTAGGCAAGTGGCATCCGCCACTTGACAGAGTGACAGTCTGCACTCCTGTTCCTGCTACTACCCTGTTTCTAACCAACTAACTAACTACATAACTACTGTTTTCATAACTGATTCTAACTTCCCTATCTATTTTGTTTAACTATTACTATTGGCTGGCTATTTATAGAGATTTGGAGAGGCTTGGGTTGGTGGATTATTGGCCTTTGTTGCAGCAGATTGGAGGAGAAAGCAAGTTGCAGCAGCCAAAGGCATTTGTTTATTCAGCAACTTGCCCAATTGGCAAGTTGTTGTCTTCTCTGGTTAGCTCCTTCCTTCTTCAGCCGTAATCAGCCACCTTCTACTCATCATTGCTTCTTCTCCTTAGTCTTCTTCTCCGACACATTCTCACCATCTGCAGCCACAAATCTCTATTTCTTCATTCTTTAATCCTCACATATCAATTTGCAGCAGTCAGTAAGCAGCAGCATCAGCAGCGAGCTTCCTTCCATTACTGTGTTTCCAGCCCCCAATTCAGCATTAATCTTTTGCCCATTTCTTCCTTGCTTCCTGAGGCACTTGCTATACCATTGCTCACCCTTCTGTAGGAGCCAATCCATCAACTCAGCAGCAACATCAGTTGGTAAGTAACAGAGTTGTAGCTGTTGTTCTTCACATATTCTCCCTCTTTCTCTTCTTCCACTTGTAGCAGCAACAACTTGCAGCTATGGGATAGCAATTTCCTTCCTTGGGCACCAAGATTTCATCTCGTGGCTCCTCTTTAATTGACAGCAGCAACAGCTACTGCAGCAGCAACTTAGCAGCAGAGTAGTTGCCCTTCTTCTTCTCAATTGAGTGCACTACTGCAGATTCTTCCAAGTTGTGATCATCTGCTTCCATTCTTCCTTCCTCACCAAGGATTTTTCCACTTGCTCCAGCTTCGATCGACCTTCCAGCAGTTTGATTTCTAGCAGCTTCCATTTCAGTCCAGAATGATCCTCTTTTGTGTAATTTGACCCTCATTTATGCTGATTTTTCACATTGGCCCCTTGATAACCCTGAAATATAAAATTAACCCAAAATTAAACTATTTCTAATTAATTGACACTTTAGTACTAAAGAAAAATGAGTAGAAAATGCCTGCTAAAAGTGTATATATTTTACTGTCATCACCTACCCATTTTGTTTCTAGCAAACATTATATTTATCCGGTTTCTTCTCATATATTCAATTAATTCTAGATACTTACTTGTTAAGGACCCTATGTTCAAACTCCCTATCCTACAAGTTTAATCATTTCAATGATTATCCTTAAGTTGGTTATTTTTCCTAATTCCCACTACTCCCTCGCCTTCGTGAGAATGTAATTATTCTTGCCAAGAAGTGAAAGATTTAACTTGTAATATGTTATTGGCGTACAACGCCACTTGCACATTTTGCCCTACACCTAAGTCTCCAAGGAGATGTAGCGGTCCTTGCCAAGACGACGCAGTTAGACCCTGTGGCACGCCACGTACAGCGGGTGGGGTCCTAAAATTTACACAATTTCTTATATGATCCATATTCATGAGAGTGGTAGCATTTTTTAATGCTCGCTGCCAAGCTAACGTAAATTCCTCTCCTCTACACTGGCTTGGGACAGTCAACGGTAAACTCTAGAGAACTAAGGATTTACCGCAGACAGAGTTAGTACTATCATAAAGTTCAAAATTAATATTAGCTAATAAAGTTAGTAGTATTATTTGGTCTTTTTATAGGTAGTAGGATTTTATTGCTTATTAGAGAACCATCGTGGGGTTTTTAGCAAAACTTTCTGCAATACGGTCTCTTTTGATTTGGGTAAGTCTTAAGCATTGCCTGTGTAATTTTTTTTTTAGAAATTTAATAAAATCAGGGGATGCCCGCCATGTATCGCCCTGATTCTCTTAAAAAAAAAGCACAAAGTTGTTAATTGTAATTCTTTTCTTCATTAGAGCTAAACTTGATACTCTTGTGCCGGATAGGGATGACTATCCAAGTTTTTCAATAACCAATAATTCAATTGAGGGATGTGATAGCTTCAAAGAGAAAAATGAAATATCTTAATGAACACACAATTAGATGTATTGGTTCATGGTAGCTTCGAACTGCCCATACGAGTTATGAGTTTCTTCTCATGAGGGGTTGGTAATTTTTTTGTAAACTGGCAAATTTGAAAAGTTAAAACTTGTACTATCAGTTAAGTTTACCATTTATCATTAAGAAACCAATCTCCAAATTTTTTCCAATATCAGATTTTCTTTCTTTTTTTACCCATAGGTCCCACACTATCCCCTTTTCTTTTGACCTTATACTCCAAAACTTTTTTCTCCAACTGGGTTAAACCACACTTTCCTGTTTCCAAACCGAACTAAATGTGTAATTTGACTTGGGAAAGTGTTGTTTGGAATCGTTTGGAAACGGGAAAGTGCGATTTGACTAGGTTGGAGAAAAAACTTTACATTACAAGGTCAAAATAAAAGGAGTCAGCGTGAGACCTACGAGAGAAATTAGATATTGGTCAAAATAAAAGGGGTCAGCGTGAGACCAACGGGAAAATGTATTTTGTTTAGTTTTTTAATTAATTATAAATTAATATAATATGTTTAACATTATTTTAATCAATTTTTGTTTTTTGAAAATTTAAAAATTATCTATTTCAAAAAATGTCCCTATTAACTTGACCCCGACTGGTCAACCCGAGAAGCCATCAATGTATAAGGGGTCAAAAAAAGTCAAAAGGACTAAATTAAGGTAAAAGCCAAATGTAATGGACCAAATCAGTAAATGTTTAATGTAAAGGATTAAATTAAATTTCTTTCCAAATGTAAAGGGCACTTTCAGCAGTTCTTCTCATTAATTTGATGAAAATTTTTAGAGAATATAAACCTCATAAGTTCAATTTTATAATTTAAACAAATTTTTTGGAATGGGTAAAGCAAGAATCATATATGTATATAATTGCATGTAGAATACAAGAGCGAGAGTTGAAAATTAGTAAGTTCGTCTTTTTGGATCAAATGTTTAGAATCGACTCTTTCCTCTTTTATCCTTTATTTTCTCTTTTCTCCATTAGACCCTTCACAACAAGGAAAAGGTTGAAGTTTGCAAAAAGAAGAAAAAGGCGTAATTGATGATTCTAACCACAAAGCCGTCCAAACCTAACCGTCCAATGTGGTTGGTTTTCCGATTTCAATCTCCATACTGTCCGGATCAGGTTTTGAAATTTTTAATACCATGACTAATGGTTTGGTCACAGTTTGGCCCGCAAATCTATCAATCAAGATCGTGCATATCCCTAATAAATATATGAAAAAATCTAGAGTCCTATTGGTCATTTTAACGGAACTGTCCCATTTTGTCTTCAACCAATCAAAATTGAGGGTATAAGATGTAATCATATGGTGAATAACATTCTATAATATCATAAACTAATTGAGAAAATGATTACTTTTGCCCAAAACATCAAGTTTCTGGCCAATTTGATCCAAAATATTTTTGAGACAAAAATCAATGGGGTAAAATTAACGACGCGGTTAAAACTTTGGGTAGAACCGTCATTTTATCCGTAACAGAATGTCAGCGGAGGTGTTAAATCTAACGAAATTATTCTCAATTAGATGAAATTGGCCAGAAATTGAAACTTAGATGATGGATTTGGCTTCGCAAAAATCTTTTTGGGTCAAATTGGCTAGACACTTAAAGCTTTGGGCAAAATTAACCAATTTCTCTAATTTTTTCAGTTTAATCAGGTGTGTTTAGATATATTTATCTATGATGCACCCTCATTGTAATTCTACGGTTGTTAATTAGTCTAATTAATCCTACGATTTTTATCTTAAAACTGAACCGTTCTGTAACGGGACTCTAGCCCCTCCTTAAATACATATTAATTAGAGATATATTTTTTTTGTGGCTATATTATTAGAGGGAACATTTAATAAATTAGAAATGCCTATAGATTTTGTTAGAAAATGGTTATTTAGTAAGCCAATGAATGCTGGATGTTTGCTTCAATTGGATTTGAGGTAATCATTGTTGTATAAGGCTCTTACCTTATTATAAGATGATTTAGTTTCTTAACGTATAAAATTGTTGAATGTAAAATTTTTAACTTCAATTATTTTTTTGAACAATATTAATAAATGAATGAAAATTATAAACAATAATTATTACAGATGGCCACACACTTAATTATACACACACAGTTTCGTTCCATACGATTAAACATCGGCCAAAAAATGAGACCAACAGGGAATAGTGATAACAATCACATGACGATAGTAAACTTTAAAGAGGTCATTGAAGGGTGGAATGGTATGTCACTATACTAAGTGGCGATGCCGCTCTTAAAATATGATTAAAGAGGTGTACTTCACTCCAATTGTTCCAAAAGGACTTACCATGTTTATTTGTAAAATTTTATTCCATTTTAACTCACTTACTTTACGACATTATTTGAATGAATCACAATGACATACTTTCCAGGATGATTGAGTTTGTGCTACGGGCCATGAAATGGTTAATCGGTAAGCACTTGTCAAACTCTATTGATGTGATTACAAATTTAGACCGGACTGTCTACAGTTTAGAGAATTAAAAATGATGTACCTCGAGGGGTGGGCGTGGTAGGAAGTGTTGGTCCTATTGTTTTAATAAATGTTTACATACAAGTTCTAGCTATGGCTAGGAATAGAAGGCCACCGTTTTGACAAAATACAAGGGTTAGTTGTAATGGCAAAAGATTAATATCAAAGAATATTAGGCTTGATCGGAGGTTGGTATAATGGAATTCAAAGTGAAAAGATGAGGGTAAGTTTAGAATTTGAAAATATTAGAAATTGTGCCAAAAAACGTTAGAGATAATATCTTGTGCCCTCGATACTCGACAACTCTTAATTTAGATCAATGAAAGTCTGTTATTTTCCTTTTCTTTTGCTTAGCAACAGCATGTGCTATTAAAAATCATTCAATGGTTCGAATGTTGAGGGAGGGAATTGTTTATATTAATAAGCACTCGAGTTCTTTTCCCATCCTTTTTGAAAATTTATTGTTATTCCTAGAGTTTAATAATCTTTTTGGCTGGGAAAATTCTAATTATCGATGTTTATTTCATAGATTTACACTTTAAAAAATACATAATGTTAATTGCGTGGTAATTCAGGATACAAAAATTAAACTCTAGCAATTTTTTTTTAATAGAAGAATAAGTGATTCCTAAATTTTAGTAGTAAAATATATTCCTTTTGTCGATAATCTGAAATGTAAATACCAATTTACTGAAAGAAAATTTTAATTTGCCATTTACTCGATTTGGAATTTTATAATGCCACGCGAATCCATTGCATACAACTAAGACATTTAAGTCTTCCAAATTGCGTCCAAAATTTACTCATAAGAACACAATATGCATTGTATTTTTTAATTTGTCTTTTAAAGTTCTGAGGTATTTCATCAAAACCTTCATAAACGGGTTCTTATTAAATAAAAAAATCCAAAATACATTATTCTTGCTTATTTGTGAAGTATTGAAAAAAAAATTAAAATAAAAAGAAATGCAAAAGAGAGAGTTAATATAGTATGTGAATTTACTTTATTGAGTCCAAACAATAATTTTATTTACCCATATCAATTAGTCAAATGAACCAAAAAGAGATAACTAACCTTATGTGCCCATATTCTCTGAATATGTGGGATTGTGGCAATTCCACATCTTCTATTTAAGGCCATTGCACTGAGGATACATCTCATAGCAGCTCACTCAATTCTTGCTTTGTTTCTCTCAATCGAATCCCTCTGCTTTTTTCTCATCAAGGTTCTCTTCCTCTGTTTTTCCATTTGCCTCGACATGTTTATACAAATTCTTTGATCTTAATCTTTTTTACTTTGTTTTCTTTGATTTGCTTTTAAGCCTTTATTTTTTCCCCTAAGTTTTAGTCTCAATCAAGATGGGGATTTTTCTCCCTTTGCCACAAAGAACTTGACTAGAATCCTAGACGTTTAAAGACACCATAGTCCCAAACCCTTTCAAATTTCATTGATAGATTTTATTTTGTGTTAATGAGAACATAAAAGTTTTGATATAGACAAGATTACTCTATTTATGCCCTCAGAAACGTATCTATAGTGCTTCTATATTTTCAAATCTACATTTACATATAAACTTGTTAATTGCAACATTTTTTTCGTATTCCTCGCGTCAGAATTTTAGAAAACGAATTAATGTATGTATGAGGGTAGTAATTCATTCATTTTTTAACTATTAAAAGTATTAACAAAATTCTAATTTTTTTTTTTAATTCCTTTTGTTTACTTTTAAGGAATAAGTGATTTGCAACATTCTTTTTTCAAAGAGGAAACCAAGGGTTGACCTTCTTTTTCCCCTTTTGTTTCTTTAATATTTAAAATAAAAGATTATGGAAATGAATGATTGAATCTATTTTTCCCTTTATTCGCTAAAGTAATATCTTATGTGATTATGCATTCTTTGCAGAACTTTCGAAGATGAAAAGGGATTCAACGATCATGATTGGACAGGTGCCAGTAGATATTGAGATAGAGCATAATCAACAAGAAATTGCTTCCGAGGGATCGAATGGGCAGGTTAACCTAAACTCCTTAAAAGTCCTCCAATTGACTTCTTCATGGGAATGATTTAATTATGACTGACAAAATGATTTAATTATGCGTATGGCTGATTGACGTCAAAATTTATCTTTCAACGATACAAATATTAGACACTTGGTTATATTTTCAGGATGGTTTCATATGTGATATCTTAAGGGTTATATGTTTAAATAACTATTCAATCATTAATATAATCTACTAATAATCTAATTTTAATGGAAACAAATGTTAATTTCGTGAAAGATTTTCAAACTTCATTTTGATTGAACCAAATAACTCGTGTAGTTAGCCTCAATGTAATCTACTGGGAGACAAACATTTGTTTCCTCTATGGAAAGAAGTAGACAGTCAACTCCACAGATTTCCTTTTTGGTTTGAAACAAATATAACATGGAGTATGTTTGTTCTTATGAGGGAGTTGACCATTTCTGGACTCGTCAAAGTCCTAAAAAGTATCTTAATTTTTTAATTTTTAGCGTAAATTTTTTACCTCGATAAATTCAAATTTGTGTATTAATTATTAGAAAAGCACAAAAACACGCACCCCTGCCCACCCACGCATTTATACACAACTAATTACTCTATTTAGTATGATTCTCTTAAAATATTTTTTTACCGATTATAATTTACAAAATGTTACAATTTGTAAAATGCACGTGAGAGTATTTATTAATTTCTGAAAGCAAATCACACGTGTAAGTAAGACCAGAAAGTCATTTTACCTTTGTCCAAACAGTCAACGTCCCTTATCTAGGCACACGGTGGTCAATTAAATTCTTTTGTTTCACTTATATTTATCAACTGTAATTCATTAATGAACCTATGCTACTAATGAAGCAAAGTTTATAATCTTGATTGTGTTGAGATTGTATCTACGACGTGACAATTGGTAGTAGCTAAATCATTGTTATGCCACTATTTAGCCTCATCAAAATTATGATATTTCACCGGTTTATGTTGTCTTTAAAATTTTTGTTCAGTTATGCTTCGAAAATACTGAACATTTTAACGCGTATTGAAAATATATAGATAGGTATCTCAATGTAATGACACTCGGTTATTTATATGCATTTTTCTAACGGAATATAATCTAAAACGATCTCTTCATTCACATATCTTTATCATTACTATTTTTCTAAATTTGTCAAAAGTATCTTTACAATTCCAACGGAAATGTTACATGGCATTTCGAATTTCAAACATGAAATATTGTCTATTACTTCATCATGATGTGTGTAACCGTAAAAATTTGGACTTCTTTCTGCAGGCAAGCAACTCCAATGAAGCTGAGATTGTGCACCCGAATACATCCGAAGCTGCTGAAACATGTGATGACATTGAACCGAAATCCAGTTCTAAGAAGCAAGGTAACGTGAACCGCGACGTTGGTGAAACAAGCAAAGCTGGCGGCGCTAAGCGAAAGCGCTATCATCGCCACAGTGATCATCAAATTAGGGAATTGGAAGCGTAAGTTTGAATTCAATACAACATTCAGTTACAACATTTCAATTAGGAAAATCGTGCTTCTTAAAAAATTTATATTTTCTCTATTTTATGGTTTGGTTTGTCATGTATTCTTAGGTTTTTCAAAGACTGCCCTCACCCGGATGATAGGCAGCGTAAGGAGCTCGGCTGCGCCCTTGGATTGGAACCATTACAAGTTAAGTTTTGGTTCCAGAACAAACGGACCCAACTCAAGGTGACCAAATTTAATTATGATTCCTCCAAGTTGGCTAGTAAAGGAAATTTTCTTTATATCACTTGTTAACATTGAATTTTTGTATACATTTTATAGGCACAATCTGAACGCACGACAAATTTCCAACTGAAAGCTCAGAACGAGAAGCTTCGCGCTGAGAACATGAGTTTTCGACATACCCTTGCTTCCGGATGCTGCCCTATTTGCGGTGAACAACAGGTTGTGCCACATTCCCCTCTTGAAGCAAATAATCTAAGGCTCGAAAATGAAAGACTAAGAGCTGAGGTATGATGAATTCTTCTTCTGCGTTTTTTTACCAATCTTATTATTTTCATAAATCTTTCACAATATTTGTGAAAACAAATTTTAGAATGTAGTCACAATTATTTTTCCTTTTATTATTTCCCAAAAAAAAAAAAACCAAAAATTCTTCAATTCTCTTTCTATTTTTATTTTTATTTTGTTGAACGTTGTTAATTATTTTGGAAGATTGCAAGGGCCACGGCTTTTCTAGCACAATTTGGAGGCAATGAATTTGCGAATCAGAACAACATTTATCCTAATCCTCCACCGCCGGTCATTAATGTTGGTGAGGCAACTGCCGGAGAAGACAATGAATTCGGTGCATTTGGTGGATTAGGGCAACCAGAAGTGGAAGGAGATCTTCTTTTCGAGGAACAACCGATGCCTATGCCTTTTAGTGTACCTGCAGCAGCACCAGCTGCAGCACACCCTACAAATGACAGGAGAAGGATCATTGATCTTGCGAGTTTTGGAATGAGTGAACTGAACCAGATGTCATCAGCTGGATACCCTTTATGGTTTCCGACCAATGAACATAGGCAGCTTCTGCTTAATGAAGGGACTTATTGCGAAATGTTCCAAAAAGTAGCAAATGTGATAAGACCACCTTCTTCTTTTAAGCTGGAAGGAACCCGACACACTGAGATTGTCATGATGGATTCTTTGCATCTTGTCGATGTCATGTTGGACATGGTAGGTTAATCCTTTATTTCTCTCCTGATTTGATCTATCATTTTCTATATTAATTTCCTTGGTCTCTAAAACAATATTTTTATAATGACGGAGACATTAGATTCATTAACTTATAGTTGAGGATATACCACAACTATGAAAGCCTTTTTTTTTTTTTTGGGTCGCAGGACATGTTTTCAGCAATTTTTAACAGCATTGTTTCTAAGGTTGACATCCTCGACGTCATCACAGGTGGTCACGCTGGAAACTATGATTATTCCTTGATAGTGGTGAGTCTTAATTTCACCCACTTGCACTCTTCAAAATGGAGACGGTCTAAAATCATGGAAAAACTTTCATATGGAATCAAAACACAAAATCTGATACCAATTCTTAATTACAACGTATGGTTAGGGTTTCATCAATTGTTTTTCCATTATTTTGTAGATGGCTGCCGAATATCAGGTCCTCACCCCTATTCTCCCAACGAGAAATAGCGTATTCGCGAGATATTGTAGAAAACTTGCTGATGATATATGGGTTGTGGTCGATGTCTCTTTGGATAACAAGTACAGCATAAGTCCATTAACCCCTAACTGCCACCGGATGCCATCAGGATGTATCATCCAAGCCATTCCAAGTGGTGGCTCCAGAGTACGTTTTCACACCTTAATATCGATCTCTCTTTCGCTAATTTTAATCTCGAATCATCAATATCATTTGTTTGAATTCATTTTTGGTTTAACTTTTTGAAAAGGTAACTTGGATAGAGCATGTGGAGGTGGAAGATGGTGGAGTTCATCCTTTGGTAAAGCCATTTGTTGACTCTTTTCTTGCTTTTGGGGCTGAGCGATGGGTTTCGGTTCTGGCTAGACAATGTGAACGACTTGCTGCTGTGTCAGTTCTTAATTTTCCTGCTGATGATATCAACAATGTTGGTATGACCCCTAACTATTTTAGCCATGCTGTTGGCTTCACATTTTTTTAAAAAAAATTTTATTTTTTATGAACTTCTTGACCTCTCCTAATTAAACTACTTTTTAATTAAGGTTTTTCTTATGGGTTTTTTTTTTTTTTTTTTTTTTTTGGGTATCAGTTAGGAAACATATATTGAGGCTGTCTGAATGCATGGTGTTAAGTCTCTGCAAGGGACTAACATCCTCAACTCCATTTTCATGGGTAAATCAATCAGCCGGAAATGGAAATTGTGAAATCAGATTCACCACAAAAACCACTCAGAACAACGATCCAGCCGGCAAGCCCTCTTCAATTCTCTTAAGTGCCACAACCTTCTTCTGGCTTCCGCTCCACCATAAATTGGTTTTCGAGTTCCTCTCTGGTGAAAATACTCGAAAAGAGGTACCATCAAAAGAATTATATACCGTTGATCCTAAATTCCATTTGATCATTGTTTTTTATAATAAAAACCCTTCAAATATGTATACAGTGGGACGTTTTGGCAAGCAAAGGAAAACTTCAGGAATTTGTTCACATTACTACTGGCCATGAAGTTGGCAACTTTGTATCCATGTTTCGAGTTGTTAATGTAAGTTATTAGTCTCACTTACTGCATTATTATATCTGAAACTCATTTGGATCAATTGGTGAAAAGTATTTTGATGCAAATGCACTTGAGCTAATTTGAAGACCTAATTTTGGCTTGTTAAATGAACTTTCGACGAGAATTAAAATGAATAAAATTTATTTTAAATTTCTTGCAGGGTGAAAACACTGGACCTGAACTATTGTTTCTCCAAGAATGTAGCACGGATCCAACATCGTCTTGCATTGTTTATGCACCAATCGAGTCTCAAGCTGCAAGAAAGTTATTGGTCGGCGAACTGGCGGAAAAAGTGGAACTCCTTCCTTCTGGATTCACAATTTATCCCAGTGAAAAGCCATCATCCCTTGCAACAATAATGAACCCTCCAGGGGATAGCGCCGGAGCGGCCGGATCGTTAGTAACATTGGCTTTCCAACTTCTAGTCGATCCTTCAAATGAATCATCCTGGTTTACCATAAATGGATCTGTTACCATCCTAACCGATCTCATTGAGTCTACCGTGAGGAGGATCAAATCTGCTTTGCTTCCAAATTTTCTTTAGTTAATTTCCCTAACCTACAAAATTGACCTAGACTTTTTCATCATTAAACTCGTTTGTAGTTACTATGGTATTTTCTCCCTTCAATGATAAGAATTTCATCGCAGTATTTCAGACCCTTCACGTTCCCTTCAATAATACTACCATTTACCCCTGGGCAGGGTCAAATATATAAGTGACTAAAATGACCATGGTATACATGTAATCCATTTCCTTTTGTTTTTTTGGTTTTTTTTTTGATTTTTTGACCATTAAAGATGAAAATTAATTAAAATTTGATATTTTACTTCTAATTACAACAAGTTGATAAATAAAATTTAATTATGATTAATAATATTAAATTAATTATGTTTTATAAAAAATTCATTAATGAAGATTATTTTATTTTAGAATACATGATATAGTTAAGTTTGAGAATTTATTATTATGTGCATTAACATACATAAAAGAATTAATGTGGAGTATTTTTTTCACTTAATTTATTTTTTATTTTTTAAAAAAATATTTAAATTGTATAATTTAAAAAATAAAACTGAACGGTATTTTTTGCCCATTTACACAAAAAGTTGATGATAGTGTTAGTATAATGAGTGGGGATTTGGTAGGTTGACTAGGAGTCAAGGGGATATATGGTAGTATTACCAAAACTCATGGTAAATTAAGTCAAAACACGGGGGTAAAATGTAGTTAGCCCTGAACTTTAATACATCAACTACAACATTAGTATATGTCTATGATTGAGATTTGAGACTGTGCCCATTAATGGAGCATTTATAGTCAGATAATTTGATATGCAAATGTACCAAAGCCTATAGCCTCGCCATATGCTTTTGCCAGGCTTGTTGGTCATTGCCACCTTTTTACCTTAGCCTTGAAGAATGGCTTCTCTGTTCCTTCGGCCATGATGACCTGCGCGACTCTGCTAATTACCAATCCATTTCAAATATATACATAATTAGTCTTAGATTTTATATGTAAATTAAAATTACAGTCATTTACATATAAAATCTAATGTCAAAGTTCTGTTCTATTTTTCTTAATTGTATTAAAACTTGTAAAAAAAATCTAATTAAAAACTAATTTGCATCTCTTGATGAGAGTAACCTTAAAAATTAGTAATTAATTAAAGGCCTTGAAATTCTAAAATCATCAACATTTAGAGATAGAGGAGGGAGTACTATTATTATCTTATTATCAGAGGAAAAATCACTTGTCTTATTATAAGAGGAAAAATCAATAGGGAAACAAGATCTAAATCAAACAAAAGGCGCGTGTATGCAATATCATACATACATTAGAAGTTCGGATGTCAATAGTAGTGTTAACAATTAACCTATATCAAAATATACATTAAAGTACTCTATTCAACCAAGCTTATTATTAACTTGATATCTATGTTCTTCCTCTTTCAAAAATCAAACCCCAGGCCCAATTTCTTTCTTTCTTTTTTTTTTTTTTTTTCCTTTTTATGATCATAAAGTTCCTTTGGCCTTCTGCTACAACTAAAGTAATTTAATATTAATCCCTTGGTTCTTCGCCAAGTGAGAAAAGTCACCAGAAAATATTGAAGGAGTTCTTTCTCTTTTTTTCCCCCCTGCCATTAGAGAGAAATTTTGCTCTATTAGTGAAAGAGGCTAGGAGAAGTAAAAAAAAAAAAAAAAAAGAAGAAATGGCTCGGTTAAGGGATCAAAACTGGACCTATTGTAACTGTTGTTTAAAAATGAGAAACAAGAGAAAATGAAATTTACGGCAGTGGGACAAACGTTTTGAAACAGGAGATTGGAACTCCCCTATTGCATCATGAAAGGTATGTTTACTCCCTCCATTAATTATCTCATCTTTAATCTTTTAGATGAATCGTATTTTGGCTAAGTTTTTTTTCAAAGAAAAAATTGAAACAGAATATTACAGAACTTAAATTTTACTTTCACCAAAATCGGGGTTAATTATCATTAATTATTTTATTTGCAAAACATAAACACATACCAAAATATTACAGGAGAACCCTTTACAGCACATGGAAAACAAATGTATAATGGTCTCCATATACATGTGCCAACCTTTTTCTTTCTCACATATCTTTTTTTCTGAAAAAGTCAAAATACTTCACAAATTCTGCAAGTTCAACGCAAACGTTACATGGACATTCCAATTTAGAAAACAAATAAATCAGTAAATAATCTTGAAATATGGGAAAGAAAATGAGAAATTACATCATCATGATGTGTGAATGTTTCAAAATCTCTCCGCCGCACTAAAAAGTACTAAAGCTGACATCTTGCGATCTGTCGAGTGAATTTGAAAATCGACCTAGGGTTTGCCATGGGAGAGCTTCGAAGAAGAGGAGAAAAAAAGGGCAAATCTGATGAGTAAAAATATGTTTTGTGTATATCAATTCTATCTCAATTTACAAGTATATCCTTCCTTATATACTTCTAATTTCCAGCTACCTTTATGTACATTTCTACTATGTATTTATGTACAATACTCCACATCAGCACCTATTCAATTTATATACTTATGTACACAGTCATGTGAGTTGCAGTACTTGTTTCATAATTTCGTGATCAGCATCCAGTGAAGAAGAGAATTGATCCGACGAAGTTGACTCTCGGTCAATGTCCAATTGTTGAAGTTGCTGCCTGAAATCGTAGATGCCCCCCTCAAGTTGAGGCTTGGAATGGTGAAGATCGGCAAGACTCAACTTGGACAAAAGATAGTGAAACTGGGGAGAACAAAGAACCTTGGTAAACAGATCAGCAGGTTGTGACCTGGTACCAACATGGAGGAGATTTATAAAGCCCTTTTTGTATTGATTGCGAACGACGTGGCAATCAATATCAAGATGTTTGGTGCGTTCATGGAAAGAAGGATTGGAAGCAATATGCATCGCAGACTTGTTATCACAGCAAAAAGTGATAGGAAGATTAACCGGAACATGAAGATCAGACAGAAGGTAGTACAACCATTGTAATTCACAAACTGTTGAAGCCATGCTACGATATTCGGCTTCACAAGAAGAACGTGAAACCGTAGTTTGCTTCTTGGTCTTCCAAGAGACAAGGGAAGAACCCAAGAAAATGCAGTAACCAGTTAAGGAAAAACGACTCTCGGGACACTGGGCCCAGTCAGCATCTGAAAACGCAGTGAGGTGAATATCACTGTTGGAGGCATAAAAAAGTCCCAAAGAAGGCGTACCTTTAAGGTATTTGACCACATGTAAGGAGGCATTCCAAAGAGCTTCTCGGGGAGAATGCACATGTTGACTCAATTGTTGAGTGGCATGAGTAATATCAGGCCTGGTAAAGCCCAAATACAGAAGTCGTCCCACTAACCGCCGATAAGCTTCAGGATCAGAAAGTAATGCTGTGGGAGAATCATGGAGAATCAGGCCCTTGGGAAGAGGAGTAGAAACTGAAACACATCCGAGAAGACCAGTACTATCTAAAAGATCAAGAATGTACTTCCGTTGATTAAGAGTAATGCCATTGCTAGATCGGGCAATCTCCACCCCCAAGAAGTATTTGGCTGGCCCTAAGTCTTTGATGGTGAACAACTTATGCAGATATGCCTTAGTGGAAGCAATCAGAGAAGCAGAAGAACCAGTTATAAGGACATCATCTACATATACCAACAACACAACAAAATCAGATGCAGTGGTCATGGTAAATAGACAATGATCAGCAGAAGATTGATGATAACCAAACAATTCTAACTGCTTGGTTAATTCATGATTCCAGTGATGAGAAGCTTGTTTCAGGCCGTATATAGAACGCTTCAGGCGGCAAACTTGAGGAGGAGATGCTTTAGTATAACCAGGAGGCAGTTCCATAAACACTGTTTCATCCAGAAATCCATGCAAAAACGCATTGTTGACATCCAACTGCTGAATTTGCCATCCTTTTGCAGCTGCCAAAGCAAAATGACTCGTACGGTGACAATTTTTGCCACAGGAGAGAAGTATTCGAAGTAATCTTCACCTTCCACCTGAGTGTATCCTTTAGCCACCAAGCGGGCTTTGTATTTATCAAGTGATCCATCAGCATTATATTTTACCTTGTAAATCCATTTACATCCAATGGCCTTCGTGCCAAGAGGTAAATGTAATTTCCCACATCTGATTTTCTTCAAGAGCGCGTAACTCTTTTGCCATAGCCAACTGCCATTCTAAGTGCTTATTGGCCTGAACATAGGACTTAGGTTCTTGGATGTGAGAAATATTGGTAAGAAAGGCTGTATGAGAAAGACTAAGATAAGGTTGTTGGATGAAGGGAAATGTGGGAGGAGGTATGAACTTGGAGACATGAATTGTGTTGGTGAAATCAGAAGAGACAGAAACAGGAAGAGAGATAGTGTCAATGGCAGAATGTGAAACATATTGTTCCATCCAGTTTGGTGCCTTTCTGACTCTAGTGCTGGTTCTTGGTACAAGAATGGGAGGAGAAGGTGGAGGAGAAGGAAGTAGGGCATCACTAGTTGATGAAGAAGAAGAGTTGAGTGGTTGGGGATCACCAGTAGATCCTGAGACAGTAGAAGAAGACGAAAGTGGTGGCAAGAGGTGGGAATCCACGAGTAAATCCGGATTGTTAGTAGAAAGCTGAAAAGAAGTTGGAGAAGATGTAGTTTCAGAGAGATTATAAGGAAACACCGCCTCTCTAAAAACTACATCTCGGGTGATATAAGTTTTGTGGTCTGTAAGGTTATAAACTTTGTAACCGTTTTGACCAACAGGATATCCAATAAAGACCCCCTTGAATGCTCTGGGAGAAAACTTGTCTTTATGAGGATTGGTATTAGTCATGAAGCAAAGGCATCCAAAGGTTTTAAGGTGGGAAAGAGCGGGTTGCTTAAGGAACAGAACTTCATATGGAGTTTTCCATTGAAGAAGAGAGGATGGTAGCCGGTTTATTAAGTAGGTAGCTGTGAGAATGGCATCCCCCCAAAATTTTTTTGGAAGTGAAGACTGGAACATGAGAGCTCTGGCTACCTGAAGTAAGTGTTTG